GATTGCCCAACCTTCCTTCCGAGGAGTGGCTGGTGGGTTTGAACCACCAGCCTTCTGGTTAGCAGTCCAGTGCCCTAGGCACTATGCTACCAGAGCTCCTTTTTCAGTAGTTAAATTTCTTATTAATGGCACTACCATTATTTTATGAAACAAAAGTACAAATATTCCATTTCAAAAAATTCAAAAATATCTATTTCTTTAAAAGTATATTTTATAAAAGTTATAATTAGTCATTTTATAATTTGTTCTTTCTGGGGGGTAAATTTATGTCAGATATATTTATATATCCTGGACATGCACTGTAAAATATTATAGCTACTACCCACATGGGGCTATATAAAATTAAATTATTTAAAACTTAAAATGTTAAAAATTCAGCTTCTCAGCAGCACTGCCTCCATATCAAGAGTTCAACAGTCACATATGGCTAATAGCTACCATATCATAGAGCTCAATTCTATTAGGAAGTGTTGTCCTTTAATAAAAATAATATATTTTTGTTCTTTGTTAGTTGCCAAGTAGGTTCCAATTTATGGCAGCACTATGTACAAAATGAAAAATTGCCCAGTCCCAGCCTGTGTTCAGAATCACTGGTATGCTAGAGTCCTTTGTTGCAGCCATTGTGTATTTTGAGTGTCTTCTACCCATGGGACTTATCATTAAGTGCTATATTACATAATATTCTGTGGTGATTCATACAGTTTTTATTGGTGAATAGGCCTCTCTTCCTACTCTGTCTTATTCAGGAAGTTTTGTCGAAATCTGTCCATCAAGAGTGACTCTATTCAGTGATACAAAATGCCTGCAATCCTTACAGAAACAACATAAGACAGAGATAGAGTAATCCCTCACAGACACCCAGACACTGTGGGAGAGAGATTCAACAGATCTACTGTCTCAGGACCATAGACCGGGGGATACCAGACTCAATTGGCACAACAAAATACATAAAAGCCTTGTTCCTCATCCTACATTGGTGACTCGCGACTGAGGTCTTAAAAACTTTCAAGCGGCCATCTAAGATGCAGCTAATGGTCTCCTATTTTCAGAAGTGAAGAAGAGTGCAAAACAACAAGGGCATTTGGAAACAATCAGCCCTAGGACATGATGGCCCTTGAGACCAGAAGAATTAGATGGTGCCTGGCGACCAATTCTAATCACTCAGGAAAGGTTCAAAACTGGAGATACTGGATAGAGTGGGAGGACTGGTCAGAGGGAATCTGGTGAGACCCCCATTACTATAGTCCTAGGATACATTCTGGGCCTGGAGTAAAGCTCGCTCCAGTGTTTGGCTCTCTGCCTAATAGTAAACAAGATGTACATACAGACCACTCAACCCAGGGTGACGTACCCACATACTGTTGTTGTTGTTAGGTGCCTTTGAGTCGCTTCCAACGCATAGCAACCCCATGCACAGTAGAACTAAACACTGCCTGATCCTGCACCAGCTCCATGATCCCTGCTATACCTGAGCCCATCATCGCAGCCACTGTGTCAATCCACCTTGTTGAAGGACTCCCCCTCTTTTGTCGACCCTCCACCCTACCAAGCATGACATCCTTCTCCAGGGAATGGTCCCTTCTGACAACATGACCAAAATAGGTGAGACGAAGTCTGGCCATTT